CATCAACCACAATTTCTTTAAACGTTTGTTTCGCGATACATTCATCATTTTCACTTGGATACTCCAACAAAGGACTTACATCCATCTTGTTATGATAACCCATACCATTAATCATATCGTATGAACTTGAAATGTTTGGAAGATATGATGAACGTACATTATAACAAAAACCTCTTTAAATGAATAATTATTAATTTATCAATTAATTAATAACTACTATAAATTAATAATTTGCAAGGTCCCGACTATATTAATTTATTGAGGTTATACAGATATGCACTATCCGCCACCGCCCCGACCCGACCCCACTAGTAGACCCAGACCCGTTGAGAAAAATGTGATAGACACATTTGTGGGTGGATCCGGCTGAAGGCTACCAGGTTAGTGGTCACATAACATTTTTTTGTACTTTCCTTTGTGAAATGTGTATTTTTCTGGTTTTCCTCTTCGCTTAACTTTATTTTTGAAATTTCTAGTTGAACATTTGCATATTAATGTTATATAATTGCGCTGAATTTTTATTATATGTTGGATCTAAATACGATATGTTATTTTAGTATAATATTATATGTTATATGTGATCGATATAATTATAAATATATGAACAATATAATGATTTTTATTTTTTGCATATATTTGAGTTAAACTGAACTAAAATTGTTGGTGCACTAACCCTTAACCCACTTACTTGATCAGTCCAACGGGTTAAATCGAGTTGACAACCTTTGATAGACCAATAACAATATCTTAAAATTAGTTTTAATTTTAATTATGATCTCTAAAAAGTAAAAATCAAACATCTCTCTCAAGAATTTTACGTAGATTCCAAAAAAAAAAAAATCTTTAGATTCAACTTAAACCCAATGCATAACGTAGTTGGGAACTTGGGATGGTGGCAACTGGCAAGTGTGTAGACTGTAGTCCCACAACTTTGTTTCTACTTCCAAGCCTGGAATGGCTACCGCCGGGAAATACGATCGCCTTCCTCTGTTTCTCTTTCTTGCTAAAGCTGTCGGTGCTAAGGAACTGTACGTGCCGCTCGATTTTCTTCCTGATTGAAGGCAAGTCAACCACCTCTTCGTCTCTTCTTGATCCGGAGGTCAATATCAAAATTGTTAATGGATTCTTTCTTTCACTTGAACTTTAATTTGAGGACAATGGTTTATTGGAAGGCTACTGAGATCGCTCTACTGTTCATAGTTCCTAGGGTTGATTGAATTGAAATGCTCGGAATAATAATTTGAATTCTGTTATGCAGTGCTGTAATCTTTTTATTACAATGGAGTTTGTGCTTCATTAGGTGGTGTACCCACTAACTGAAATTCTAAGCTCTTGACATGGTCACGAGTTGCCCCTTACACGTTTCGAGTTCCCGAAGGGCCGGTCCTTGAACAGTAGGCTAATCAGATGCTTGTTAGTGTTTGTTCGATCTGTTATCTCAAGGAGTAAGGACAATTTGTCTAATTGGTTGGACACTGAATTTCTAATTTGACATGGTTTACTTTGTATGCAGCTGATTTGATAGGAATACCTGCATTTAGGTCTTCCAAAAACTAGAATCTATGCTGGCAATTGATTTCCTTGCTTTTTGAACACATGACTAGAATCTATTTTAGGACTAGGGTTGCACTCAGGTTTGTGATAATGGGAGCTTACTTAAAGCGCTCATGTCTGCATAATCATGTCTATGTCAGCGCAGACTGTAGTTTGTTATATGAAGGAGCATTGACAAGAAGTACCTTCCAAATTGGTCTATTTGTCGACTGAGAAGCATGCAGCTTGTAAGGTTACTCATTTCCATGGTTGGTGCTTGGTTTCCTTTGACGCTCTGGTTTTGATGATTTTGTGAAATTGAAGAGATGTTCAATTTTATGGTTCATTAATATAGCCCAATGCTTCAATTTTTTAAGGGAAAAAGACTACATAATCTAACTCCACTATGTTCCATATGCGATCACTTTGTCGGGAAAATTGAACTTAGATATTGTGCAATGTTTCTCCTGGAATTGCTCAGACTTCATGAACAGGTATTATGGCCTAATTTAGGTGGTAGATATTGCATAGCTTGATACTTTAATAACATAGAACTGCTTGCCTGAGATTGAAGTCTACAAACAAACCAATACAACATTGTACTCGATCTGCTCCCTAATTTGGAAATTGATGGCGTCTGTGTGAGCTTATGCTGATCATATTGGTGCCCAATCTGCAACCATATGGTGAACTGAGTTGTTTTTATAGTTTTAGGAAGGCTGAACTGTAGAACCAGAAGTAAATCCTGGCTACTCAGTAACTGTTGGTTGCTAGTCATATCCTTATTTGTGGTTTTAAATCCTCACATCTTTTTTTTTTCTTACTCAACCTGCACCTTGGAGCAGGGGCGACTTTGAATTAGATCAATATCACGCGACTGTTGAAGTAACAAGTAAGGAATGGAACCAATGTCGTATGGCATATACATCAATGGTCCTAAGCTATCCTATTTCTGGTTCATTGCTGTAATGGCAGGGCTCTTAACTTCTGGACCAATCTCCCTGTGGTGCTAATTGCATCGGGTTGCCTGAGGAAAGGCTACTGGTATCAAATGCGCTTGCTCATAACTTTGCTGTTTTCACAATGTCAAGTAGAGAAGGTGCTAGACATTTGGGGGAAGAGATGTTAACAGTGAAAGATATCCTAGAATGGTGGGTGGGTATCAAATGCGCTTGCTCATAACTTTGCTGTTTTCACATTGTCAAGTAGAGAAGGTGCTGGACATTTGGGGGAAGAGATGTTAACGGTGAAAGATATCCTAGAATGGTGGGTGGGTAAACATAAGTTTCACAAAGCTCCTCTTATCGCCTTGGGAGCCTCTTCTGGTGGGTACTTTGTTTCTGCTCGTGTTGCATATCTGAAGTTGAGTAGTATTACGATCATGATTGCTGAAGGGGTTTTTGGTGAGATAGATATCCCGGAGGACTATCCACCTACTCTGTTTATTCACATGCCGAAAGATGTACACATGAAGCAACAGATAAGTGTATATATGGAGATGCTGATGAGTAAATGTATCAATGTTGAATAGGTTGAATGCTTTGACATTCCCTTGTCAAAGAGTTGCTTAGCTGACAGAAGTCGAGGACTTGATCCAAATGCCTCAGCCAATTTGTTTCATCTATTGAAGGACAAAGGTTTTGGTTATGAGCAAGGATACATGTAAAAAAGAAGAGCATGCTACACGCTGGAAAGAAGCTCGCTGAGGAAGTACAATCAAGCTGGACAAGATTTTGTTCCAGCAAGTGCAGGAGGAACTAAACCTTGCTTTTGCATTTCATGAAAAAACGAGCTTGCCATCTGATGCCATATCTAAATGGTTTGAATCCCACATGAAGAGGAGTTCTTCTATTTCAAGCAAACTCCAGCATCTGCTTACAGCAAAATCATCTCAAAATTGAGAGAATTGGAGCAGATAGTTTCAAGGTCAGTGCTTCATCGTTTTTTTAAATATAATTTCGGAGTTCTCCATGTTTGCACCAATGCTAGTAGTTAGAGGTATTGTTTACTAATCAGAAAATTGAGCCTTTCATCTTATGGTAGGCATTAATTAGTATTTGTATTATGCAATCACGAGCTTAGCAAGTTAGAGCAAGCTTCTATCTTATTCTCTTCAGTTGGACAATGTGGAATAAATTGAAGCAACTTGCAAAGCAGACTGCCACGAATTGATGGCTCGCACTTAGATTGTCAGTGATGAAGGAGCCAAAGTCAATCTAATTCCTTGGTTAGACGCTGTAGGTACCCATATTTTTTGCAATGTTACAGCAAAAATTTGGTAGCTTCATTCTGTATCGTCGACATTTATAAACCCATCGTAGCCGGAGCAGATTTGCTCTACTAAGCTGTTATTGGACGATTTCAGACAATGTTAAACGGAAACATTTGGAAGTCTTTAGTTTAAATATATGGTTGTTGTAAACTTGATGGAATGCCATGCCATGGTTTGGTAATAAAATGCAGGAGGAGATAGGTATGCATTTATGTTGGTTCTGATTCAAACATGGCCAAGTGTCGTCCTTCCCTTGTTCCCTATTTGCATTAACTCCCCCTTGTGCTTCACAGAAATGACCCAGAAGACATTCAATTCCATTGAATCCATTCAAATCCCCGTTTTCACTTCTCCCTGCAGGATGTTCTTTGTAATTAGCACAGGTTACGCTGCCGCGGCATTATCATGACACAGCTACAAGCCCCGCCAACAGGCACAGGTTACGCTGCTTTAAAATCCCTTTCCATGGGTGTAAAATTACTCCCCTGTTTTCAATACTTACCTTTCATCGTTTTCTTTAGCTCTGCATAGTTATTCCTATTAGGCTTCACTTTACTAACCACTTAAGGTTTTTAGTTGCAACTAAACTACACAAAAGGCGACTTCCAGTTGCACGTCGCATTTTCCGTCCATAAACTTGACGTTACATATCAAATTGCAATTTTGCGCCTCCTTGAAAAACAAGTTATTAAACCTTAGCTATTTTTCTGGAGGGCAAAGGATACAGCCTCAACGGGCTGAAGGCTTCATAATCATAGGGTCAATCAGTAAATCATCCTCATCACCATGATTAACTTCTCACATAAACGAATGCATCAAGCCCTACGACAGGTTGTGTGAATTGCTTAAAAAACAGCCTTTGCACTGTTAGTCGCAAGCGGAGGGAAAAATGGTTGAGTGGCTTGCTTAAACAAATCATCTTTGCACTGTTAGCAGCTATCGGAGGGGAAAAGCGCAATTTGATACCCACTGTTAAGCTTATGAACAGAAAATGTGATGTTACAACTAGCTCGAAACCAGCTTGTCTAGTTTAGTTGTAAATAGAAACTTTAAAGTGGTTAGTATGCAGCACAAGCAACACTTAAGTGATATCCGGTGCGATAAACTTTTCACTGAACTAGCAACACTTAAGTGATATCCGGTGCAATCAACTTTTCACTAAACTCGAAAACCGATAATGAAAACTCACTGCAATGGCTTGTGAAGCATTAAAACTTTAACATCCAAATCCATAACACTCTAGAGCTGTCCTCTTCAATGGGATAAACATAAAAGACATTACTAAAGTAACAAACACATAAAACAGAGCAACATCAGCATATAAAATGTAGAAATTCTAAGTAATTGATAACTGACAGAAGACCACTTGCAGACTATGATAATGGTGGTGGTGAACAGAACAAACACCTTACATCCGACGACGACAACTGACTCTCAACCTCTACTACCAAAGCTAGTTTCTGGGCTTGAGACGTCCTTCATTGGCCATCTGGAAGACACGTCCCTGAGCAGCAGCAGCCTTGTTGGATCCCAGCGCCGAAACGAAGCTCTCCCTCACCTGGTTGGTGGTGAAAGCAAACCTGTTGGTGACCATGGAGTTGAGCAGTGCAGCAGTCCCTTCTCGGTAGAGAGTTCCATAGCCATCCCTTCGAGGGTTGGAGAGAGCCTGGGGAAGGCTGGTGGAGGGTCCAAGGCCCGGCAGGCTGGGAGCTCCAAAGGCGTTGCCCAGTGTGCCCCACCACCCTAGCAGCCCAAAGATGATTGCTGGGTGGTTCCTCCAGTAGCTGCCAACCAAAACCCACTTATATTTATCAGCTCAAGTTTCCATCATTTTGTCTTTCACTTGCTTGCTTTAAAGAAGTGTACTTACTTGCATGAGAAGGGAGAGTTTGGATCAATGACAAATGGAGGCGTAGAAGGGGTGCCGATGATAGGAATGGTCGGGGGGCTGCCGCCGATGATAGGAGTCGGGGGAGTCAGAATACCACCGCCGCCTCCGCTAGTTGGTGGGGAAGGTGAAGGGACATATCCGCCGCCTCCGCCGGTTGGTGGGGAAGGTGAAGGGACGTATCCGCCGCCGCCTCCGGAAGGGGGAGTTGATGGAGTAGTCGGATCAGTTGGAGTGGTGGGAGTTGGAACAGAAGGTGGGGTTCCACAGTTCCCAGTTGGAGGATTTGAGGGAGTGGGATGGTAACCTCCTCCATGAGACGGTGTAGAGTGGTGTGGAGGTGAAGAAGTACCATGCGATGGAGTTGGAGTGTGGGAACCTGCATGCACCCACGTTATAAAGGAAACACACCAGCTAGGATAAGGAAAAGCATGCTGCTTGCCGAATCTATTGATGCCAATGAAGTGAAAGAGAGAGATGACCTGAAGGGGGAGTCCTGGAATGTGGATCTGGGGGGTAGTAGTTCTTCTGCTCTCCAATCAGCTGGGAGGATGCCATCACTGGGACGGCCAAGTTGTGGGAGAGCAAAGCAGCAGCTACCAGAACCCACATCACTCCTGCTTCGCTACGAGCCTGCTGCTTGATGAGCTTCCCTTGCATCTCTCTCATTGTTCGTTGCTAGGCTTGGGGGGGAAAGGAAAGCAAGCTGGAAAGTCTGTAGAGAGGGAGGAGCAGTGGTGCAGTGGGCTTGAGTGAAGCGTTTGGTTTTATAGAAGGTGATGGTAGATGGTAAAGTGGTGGAACAGAAGTACGATAAGAGTAAATACCCCATTGCGTAATTTGGTGGAGAGTATGTGGGTTAGTTGGGGTGGCGTTGCACCCGCATTTATGATGCCCCATTGATTCTTTTCTTCTTTTCTGGATGCCTTAACAGAGCTCACTCGGTGCTGGTACTGTAATTTCTTCTTCCCCGATTTGCAGTACCTAACCAGATCCCAACTTTGAATACTCATCTAAAATTTGTAAAGTAACTTCGGGCTGTTTTGAACTCAACATGCCATGTTGTAGGGGCTTCATGCTGTTTGGGTAGCTAAGAAAAAGGTCATTAGAGTTGGAGAAGTGGAAACTGTGAACTCAAAATCATATGATATGGTTGGATTTCTTTTGCAAGTTAAATATGCTATTGAGGGTGGCCATTCTGCTATATGCTATCTTTCGATGTTGGCCTCTAAACTTTTGTTTACGGACTTAATTGTTGGGTTGAACTCTCTGTGGCAGTGGCAGGTCTTGGTATCAACGGCGTTCTCCATGTCACACCAGTTGATGTGGACTTGAAGCTTTGCTGGACACTGAGTACTGGTTGAGACTTGAGACTGCGCAAGTTGGATGGTTGATGCTCTTCTGGTAAGCTTGTCATTAATTTAGGAGTGGATTTGTTGTTCCAGGTGAATGACCAAACAGATTCCCAGAAAATGGAAACAAACAACGGCATTGCTTTCACATAAAAATTGGCCCCTGCTTGATGATACACAATGACGACACTACCCAACTTTCTTGAAATGTTAGATTCACTTGGACTAGAATCTAGATGAATGCTTCTTACCGCCATTCCACTTAATTACTGAACCCTAGGCTCTACTTATATATGCTCAATGAGACTAATTATATATATGCGATGTGGACTATTGTTTTTGTCGTTTTTCTTATTACAAGGTTCTGTTTATTATAGAAAAAAAAAATGTAAGTAGCTCACTCAGTCCTTAGATGTCTTCTTTCAGTAAGTAACTGCAAAATCTTTGTCTTCCATTGCCCTCTAGGAACGGGTTCCGTCCCAACAACTAAAGTATGGTTGAAGATGGTAGATGGCGCTATTTATGATGCTTTTGCAGACTGAGGCTGGCCTCGAGAAACAGCAAGAAAAATCGATGTTACCTCAATTTGGATCTCTTCCTTGGATGGAGAGTAGAACATGAACGAGGGAATGCCACTTGGTCATGGCCAGTGTGTCCAAAATAGAAATGGCTTCTGGGAAAGCAAAGAACAGGACCCAAGAACACATTTCCCCCAAGCAAGCAAGCTAGCTAGGTGGCTGGCTGGATGCCCTGCCTCTGTCCACCATTCTTTTATGGCTGTAGCAGAGGGGTAGTTGTGGTGGGCACATAAAATGGCGGAGCGGAGTAATTACAGTCGACAGGCAGAGCCACCAGCCATATACAGGGTTATGGCTTTTACTCTTGCTCACTTATTTTATCATCTCTCTCTATCTTGCATTTCCATGTTACTGTTCTATGCCTGTAATATTTTTAATGTGCATCTACATTTTCGGCCTTCTCACCTCTCCTCCAACCTGTCTTTTGACCAGCAGCAGCACAGGCACAACCAAATCCAGCTCAATGTTATTGGCTTTTCCCTGCCCTTCCCTTCCCTTCCCTCAATTTAACTTTGTTGCAGAGTCGATGCAGGTTTCAAGATTGTCAGTACTATGCCAACGATAATATTGCATTGCAATTAACGTTCACATCTGCCTGTCAGCTGAAGCTGCTGCTGCTAGGAGAGGGCCTTTCCTCAGAAGAATTATGAATAGCTGTTGCGTGTTGTGATGGGTGTCTTTACAATTGAGGACGGATCAATTCAATTGGCTGCCAAACTGTAAGGGTGCATCAACCCGTAAAACTAATGTTCTAAGTTTGTAAGTTAATTGTATTGATCTATAGACTACAGAGTATTGTTTTTTTTTTTGGTGGGAGACTACAGAGTATTGTTGGTAAACAATGGGCAATTTCTTTTTTTTTTTTTTTTTATAGAAAACTTGATTTTTTCCCTAATTAATGTCGGACTTAATATTAGAATGTATTAGTTTTATACTCAATTTGTTGGCCAACTGAGTTTTGGTTATTATTTATGTTTATCAATTGATCTCAATGCTTAACTTATTTATATTTATATTTTTCTGTGTTATTCTAATTTACATTTTGAAGATATTTGTGGTTTTTTGTGTGCGAAGAAAATTTAAACTTTACCACCACCCAACCTTTTTCTATTTCTTCATATCCCGTCACTTTCTCGTTTTCTTATTTTTCGTCACCCATCTTCTCGACTGATTATTCATCGTTTTCTTCACTGTAAGGCCCCGATTTTTGTTGTTGGTGAGAATAGGGTGCTCCTTTATTGCATACGAAAAGAAATGTACTAATTAACGCCCTAAGTTTTTTAAATTTATCGCTCTAACTTAACCAATTTGACGTTGTTGCCCCTGACATATTTCCAATCTCTAACCAAATTTTGCCCTAGGATTCTTCCCCCATTACCGTTGTTCGCCCTGGGAGTCTTCACTCTTCGCCACCGCAACTACCTTTTGCTGCGCCGCTCACCCTAGGGATTCCTCGCGGCGGCTGCTTCCATCGATAGGGAGCTTGAGCAATAGGCCGAGGATGCGGGTAACAAGCTCCTTAATCCCGTCTTCACAATCGGCCAATGAAATTTGGCAATCCAAACAACATAATCGAATTCTCACCTCCTCTCATCAACGCCTCGTAGAAGCTTGACGAGCCCTTCTCTGTTTTCAGCGTTCTTCATCCAATGCCCTTGGAATTCCTTGCAGCCTATATATGTTTTCAACGTTCTTCTTCCAATGCCCTAGGGATTCCTCGTGGCGGCTGCTCTGCTGCTCGGTCCGCCCTGTCGACGACTACCATGCCTTTCGCTGCCCCAATCAAGGACGTAGAAGAGAGAAAAGAATCTCGCCCCTCGACCTTCTCTCTCCTTCCTCAACGGTGAATAGGGATGGCAATGGGGCGGGTTTGCCTAAACCATCCCCATCCCCATCTTCAAATACCCAAACCCATACCCGCCCCATACCCATGCGGGGGAATGTTTTGCAAACCCATCCCCATACCCCTGGGTTTCGGGTACCAATGGGTAATACCCATCCCCGTACATCCAACATTATTATACCTAAAACTTACAAGAAAAATTTTAATTATAACCATAAACAAACCTATTATACATGAAGTCAACAAAACACAGTCATTTTCTAAATACGATTCAAAGAATATGATCCTAAAACATCCATTCATACATAATATAGACTACAATATTTTTTAAATTATTATGCTCTAACTCTTGATACATTTACTAAGTAATAATTAACTAACATAATTTTGTTGACAAGGGGGAAAGTGAAAGAGTGGAAGGAGAATTGAGGGAAATGAATTAGGTTTTGATTAAGGTGGTTACTCAATTGCATTTCTACTATTTATTTTCTCGAGTTATCATCATCATCATTGATATATTACAATTTAATCCACATATTTTTTGATATGTGAAGAAATTCTCTTGGTGGGGCGGGTATGGGTATGGGGCGGGGGAGGCTAAAACCATACCCGCCCCATACCCGGTCAAAGCGGGGATTCCCCGCGTTGACTGGGTCGGGGGCGGTCGGGTACCCGCGGCCATGGGTTTCATTGCCATCCCTAACGGTGAAGGGCAGAGCAGCAACAGAGGTGGAGACTGACCTTCTCTTTCCTTCCTCAAGGCGACGGGCGGAGCAGCAACAAAGGTGGAGATTGAGGATTGATTGGCAATTAGGGATTAGGGCGATGGACTGACAAAGCGTTTTGGGAATTGGGGCAACTGTTTTAGTGATTGGGGGTAGAATCGTCTGTTTAATTAATTTAGGGCGAAATTTTAAAAATTTAGGGCGTTAAATAGAATTTTAGTACAAATAAGACGGGGAGTCTGAATTCCCACATGGTCAAAGTATAACCAATACAGAAGAATAGTACTTGGCCTATCAAACACATGTGGCCCAATCGAATATGAGTGCCCTACAGAAGCTAAATGGTCAGCGACAAAGTTTGCCTCGCAGAACACATGATTGATCCTAATGGTCCATATACGATTAAGCCATCGCTGGATCTCTGCAACTTGAGTGTAGTGTGGATGTTGTGGTGTCACGGTCCCCATCAGAGACTTAGCAGTAGAAGAATCCGTCTGCAAAATAACTTTCCTAGCCCCTTCTTCCCAGGCAAGTTTCAAACCATACACAATTCTAGCCAACTCAGCACGAGTAAACGACTCCCCTCCAAGGTTCGCAGTGAATGCTCTAATGAATCGACCATCATCTCCCCGTATATTACCTCCACAAGTCGTGCTCTCAGGAGAGAATGTGATTGAGCCATATGTATTGGCACAAAGCAAGTCATGCACCGGTGGTTGCCAGCCAATTTGACGCCATTTTAGGAGTCCCGCATCCCCGAATATATTCCTCTCCTTCTGAAATGCCTTCAGAATCTGATCCCGGAGCTGTTTGAATTGGAATTGGAGTTGTGCATGGGTCTTCAACCCACCCCAGAACAAGAAGCCATTTCTATTTTGCCACAGAAGACAACCCGTCCCCTGCAAAGAGCGTGTTATTGATGATAGTGCTGCACCTTGAGGTGTGCACCCTCTGCATGGATGGTTCTTCCAAATTGATCGCCATACATGTTGGCCATGGATGGGGCTGTCTGTCGTGTCCGTCAACTCGTACATCATCCGAAGCGTGAAGTCTCCTCAAGGAGAGAACAAATATATCTCACATCTTCTTTGAGTTCTGTTGGGCTAGGATGAAGAAGTATCTGCGAGACAACTGAGACTGTTAAGTAGTAAAGAAGAAAATCTGAGTTCCACTTACCATTCAGGACGAACTATATGATTGGCATGTTCAAAAGTTCAGGTGGTAGGTTGAGTTCATAGTGTCAAAGGATAGTAGTATCGTTTAGCCAACAATCTCTCCAGAACCGGGCCACCCTCCTGTTGCGAATATTCCAAGCTGTAGCGTCCTACAGAAAGTGCGCCACACGCACCACTCCTCTCCATAGGTTGGCTGGTTTGCCACTGGAATGGATAACTCATCCCTTGTCGGTTGCATGGAGTACTTAGATATGATAACTTTTGCCTAGAGTTTATTGGGTTTAGTGAGTAGTCTCAAAGCAATCTTAAGCATGTAGGCTCCATCTGTTCTTGTCAACCCCGGAGTCCCAGACCACCCTCGTCTTTCACCCTGCATATCGATTCTCAATACACAAGGTGGACTTTCCTGCCATGTTTGGTGCTTCCCAAATGAAAGCCTAGATCTTCTTGTTTATGTAGTCTCGCACGCTAGCTAGTAGAAACGTCATCCACATCGAGTAAGTCAGTAAGGAGGCAAGCATTGACTGTGCAACAGTGATATGAGTTGCTAACGACATCTTTGAGGCTTTCCACCACCCAATCGAGTATCGATCATGTTGATCAAATCAAGGAAAGTGGCTTCCGACACTCTGTTATGTATCACAAGAACGCTCAGGTAACACCCCAGGTTCGTAGTTACTATAATTTGAAGTTCCTCACTTAGAGCTTGTTGATGAGCGTGAGTGGTGTTAGCTGAAAAGTAGACCCGAGACTTCAGTATGCTAACTTGTTTTCCGGAAGAAGCCCCAAAACTCGCGAAGCACGCATTGATCTCTTGTACCTGTGCATTGGTTGCCTTTCCAAAGAGGATCATGTTGTCTACAAAGAGATGAGATAGTGCTCGTCCATTACGGGCCAACCAAATCGGTTGCCACCAACCAGCTCTTACATAATCGTCAATTAAATGTCCAAGGATTTATGTAAAAGAGTAAAGATATGGAGAAAGAGGACATTCCTATCGAAGACCACGTCGGTTGGATGCTCTCAGTAAGCCCCCCCAGTTCACTGAATCTGCATGATTTCGAGGAAATACATGTCATCGTAAACTCCACAAACTTGGTTGGTGTTCCCGCAGCAACTATGATATCCCGGATGAAACCCCATCGTATCCGATCATAATCCTTGGCTAGATCCACTTTCAACACCATCCATCCCCGTTGTCCCTTACGAGCTCTTATGGAGTGTACCACCTCCTACATGATACATATATTATCTGTGATATGGCGGCGAGGGAAGAACCTAGTTTGAGTCGCGTATACAAGAGATGGCATTATACCCTTCAAACATTCCGCTAAGCATTTCCTTAATCTTTTATAAGCCACATTGCATAAACTGATTGGTCGGTATTGCTCAATAGTAGTAGGTTGTTTTAGCTTCAGGATGAGAACAAGGATTGTTGAGTTGACCTCCTTGATCTTATCTGGTTGGCTCTAACGTTCCAGTACAAATTTTGTTAGGGATGGTCCCCCGTCTCCCAGCACATATGAAAATAATTGGATTGAAGCCGTCTTTTCCAAGTGCCTTCAGAGCCCTCATCACCCGGATTGTAGTTCCAGTTTGCTTGAGATTTGGAGTAAGGTCGAGAGCCTGACAACGAGCCTCTGCTTGATCTTCTATCCATTCCATCGTTGCATCCTTTTAACATAGAAAAATGATTTCTTTTCCGTCAACGGATGGTCATGGCGTGAAAATAATATTTTTTTGTCTTCAAAAGCTATCCACTAAAGTAGGGATGTTTTAACACCAAATGAGCTCTTCTTGGAACATAAAGAGCTACATATCGTTTTGTGCTTGATTGACTTGGTTGTCGTTCCCCTGTCCCCCTCCATCTCTCTCGAGGTTTTCAGTGCGCCGCAACAGTTCCTCTTTCCTTATATGTTCGAAGACATTTATGTTCCAAAGTGCAACATCTCTGGCCAAGGCTTTAGCCAATTGAATGAAGAGTTTCCTTTTGCCCACGCCGCGTCTGCCATTTCTCAGAATTTTTCATGATTTAGCCACATCGCAAGGAA